TCTTCGGTCAGTCTGGAGGTGGTCCCCATATAATCTATTGTATTGAAAACAAACTTGTCTTTTTTCAACTCCTGCCGTTGTTCCCAAACAACAAAAAACAACCGTGCAATACTTGTATGTTAGCTACCAGCTAGCCTCGGACTAGTAAAGCTCAGGGTAGTGAAGAACGAGTAAAAAGGAAACAAGCTAGGTAGAAAACCGCCGGAAAGTGAAACAAGAGTGGTAAAACTAGGCGAAAGTAACCTAATGTATTAGGAAAGTGAGCGGAAGTGAAAAAAGTTGGGTGGAATTGGGTAAAAATTGAAAAAGTGAGGTAAAAAGTGGGCAAAAGTGAAAAAAGTGAAGCAAAAGTTAAGTGAAAGTGGGTAAAAGTGAAAAAAATTAAGTAAAAGGTAAAAGTGAAAAAGTGAAAGAAAAGTGAAAAAAGTGAAGTGAAAGTGGGGTAAGTGAAAAAAGTGAAATCAAAGTTACGAAAGTGAACTGAAAGTGAAAAAGTGAAAAGTTAAGGTGTACACATTATCTCCACTGTAAAAAAAGTTGTACTGAATTTTCAGTTTTCAGTTTTGTCTTTTTACAGACCAGTAGTTTGAAAATTCAGACTGCACCCGGGTCTGAGATTTCAGTAGTGCCTTACCATACCACTTAGTCTGATAATTCGGACAACCGGTATGAAAATATTTTTGAAAATGTTAAAAATGAACACATAGCGAGCGATTTAACAGCTGTGGGGGTAGAGGGCTATGCCCAGGTGAGAACATATCTGTCCATTCGGTACTGCCCTTGGTTGGGATCGAACCGCCAACCGTCAGGTTCGGAAGCGGCAACCTTAACCATTCGGCTACCTGCTACCTGCGTGGGGAGCAGCGTCGGCTACTGGTGTGCTTCGTCCACCTGTCCGGTGGACTTTCCACTCAAAATTCATACAGGTAACTCTGAATTGTAGATTCAGTGTAAAGTCTGAAAACATACTTTAAAATATTCAGACAAATTGCTCTGAAAACCTGATTCAGAGTAAAGAGTCTGGATTTTCAGTCTAAACTTAGAAAATTTTGATTAATGGTCTGAAAACGAGATTCAGAGTGCTGATTCTGAAAAACATCAACTGAATTTTCAGATTTTTTTTTACAGTGTCGTAGTGAGCACCCCCTCGCTGTCAACCCCGGTTTCGGAGAAGGTGCTAAGTTCTAACCGCTGCCGAGACCAAGGCAAATCAGAAGGCTCGTGCATACATAGTCAAACATGTGAGTGAGGATATCTTGAATGATGTGAAGAATTTCAGTAGAACGAGTGGCATGTGGTATACTCTCACGTATCCACAGGAGGCAGACACTCATGCACAGAGTAATGCTCATCAAGCAGCTGGGGTGCTTCAAGAAGCCGCCCGAGATGAGCATGAGCCAGTATATCTGGAAGGTCCCGGACTTCTGCTCCAAACTCGCAAGAGGAGGCATTCAATTCACTGATCAAATGATTAGCGTTTTTCTTATCGCACGTTTGCCCCTCGACCAGTATGGCGCACTCGTCCGTTCCATGAGAGTTGGTGGAAATTTGAACATTCAAGATACCAAGAGCAAACTGTTGGTTGAAGAGAAGTCTATGCACCTAGAACCTGAAGTAGAACCTGCCGGGGCCCTCTTTACTGGCAAGACAGCCGCCCAGAATTCTGCAAACAAAAATCAGAATCCCAAATATCAAGTAAGCAATTACTAAGGGAACAACTATCAACCCAGAGGAAGAGGAAACAGGGGCGGCCGTGCAGGAAGTCAAAGTAGAGGTAGAGGTCAGAACTACCAGAACTTCAATAACCAGCCCAAAAGAGCCAAAAGACATGGAAATGACATGACTTTAATGTCTTCCTATGTACATGCCATGCCCCACATGTCCAAAATAAGTCTTAATTATGGCAATACCATGTACAATATGTCCGAGCATGTATCCCTCCTATGACCTTTATTTGACCTTATGTCTATTGGGGCAGTCCTCGGAAGAGCTTTGTATGTCTTATGGCCTGCACTGATGTCCTCCGTATGGCCTTATGTCCGCTTTGTCAGTCCTTGCAATGGACTTTTGGTGTCTTATGCCCTTCTGCGATGTCCACACTATGGCCAAAAAAACATGGCCCGTACTCGATGTTCAGATTACGTTAATATCTTATCCAGTCCATGTCCATGTTTGGTCTTCGGGATTTCCACGTTCCCCGACTTCTTTACAGGGTGTGCAAACTCAACACCCGTGTGAAAAAAGTATCACGTTATTGGACTCGTGGTCCTCTTTTTTGAAAGAACGCCGAGAAAGAATTCAGAGATGTCTGGAAGACCACCAGAAGTCTCACGGGAGACCGGAACAATGCAAATCGAGCATCCGCGGAGCACCGCGCTGTATTGTTTCGGCCGTGTTTCGGCGGTCTCTTCGCCGTCTCGCTTTCGTCTCGAAAAGGGGCGATTTCGAGACGGAATAGAGACCGGGAAGAGACGACTTCTTCTGAAAACCTCCCCAGCACCACAGCCAAGCAGACGATACTCCGCGCGCACAAGTATGAGAAACTCACCGATCAGTTTGGACGCGGGGTATTCACACTTAGCGTGGTTGTGGTAGGACGTTTGAGATTTGTAAGATGTTATCAGTTTGAGGAAGCGAAAAGATTAATTAGCACATATATTTTTTTAATTCACTTAGTATTTTATTTTGAAATATTTGACAAATATAAATGTGTTATAAGGCTAAAATCACACATTCGTTTATAGAAATACTGGCGTACAATTCTACTCTAATTCAAAAGAGTTTAGTGGGTCAACAAGGTAGACTTTGCCTTTGATAGATAAACAAAAAGATACCCACAGCAAATTTTTAACAGGGACTAAGTCAGTGATTGGACTCGCTGAGAAGTAAAAATACCTTGAAAACGGAGCTGGAGAACAATGCGACCTACAAACTACAGCAAAGTACTCATTATTACTAGTCGATTTCACTAATGTCAGAATTTTACCATGCAGCTGGTGATTGTTATCTGACAAATAGCAGCAATAGGCGGATTCCCGTGACCCTCGTTGGTATGTTTCAGCAACATACAACTGATTTTCTTTGTACAATCGTGAAAACGTAAGAATTGAGAGGTCAGGGAAAATCTGCTGCAAATAGTCTAAACAACTGTGACTTACATCAAAATTACCCACTACATAAGTGCCACTAGAAATTTTTTCACTCCGAGGTATGTTGAACCGACGCTCAAGGAGAGATTTACAGAACAGTTTAGCATCAGTTGATGAAAGTTTTGAAACATGTAAAGGCAACTCAGTCAAGACAGAAAAATGCGAAAAGATTTGCATAGTTGCATGGCGGGTACCATGGGTAAGCGCTGCCAGTTTTCCGTTCAGGTCTTCAAAACGAAAACAACTGCTAACAAATAAATTTCCAGTCTGATACACAGAAGCAGCAAGATGCCTTAGAAGGTGTATATTGGAAGACATATGGCGAACACCGTACAACTTCTCAAAATCACAACAAAATGCCTTCAATTTCATGTCAGCCTCTACCAACTCTTCAGGGGAAATACTGGACTTGTTTAACATAGCAATAGCCTGCACTAAATTTGAAAGATTATTAAAGAACCGAGGCTTCATTATTCCATGCAAAAGTGGTAAAACTATATACGAAATAAAATTTCAACAGAGAGAGGCCTTCCAATACCCCAGTTTAGTCACATCCTCAGGTAAACGTTGCACAAAGTGAGGAAGATTTAAATTTTTCAAAAGTGAGTAAACTTTCTCTATTTTTGTTGAGAGTGAAAAAGGTTCGGAAGAGTATTGAGAACTAAACCAGAGAGTCAAAAATTGCTTGGTGATGCCAGTAAATAAGCAGTGCATGGAATTAATACAAACAGAATCAAAAAAAGAGGAGGACAAAATGTAAGACAGCAGGGTGGGGCCACTCACCCCTAAGTGCTCTTGTTTAGAGGCCATACACTGTTCCAGACATTTTTTGTAGTTTTCATTATCCCTTTACTCTAGCTCCTCTTGATGAGGAAAAACAGTAACTTTTCCAGTTCTATCACTATTTTCACCAACTATAAAACACTTGGGACATGAGCAGTACCCACTGTGACCTTTCATGCACATAAAGCAAGCCTTAGCTGGCACATCACACGTTCCAGTGATTACAATAGCTCTTGCCTCACATTCCTCTTACTGGTGAAGTTTCACATTAAAACCTTTCTTTAGCTTTGAAAGCTCTTCATACATAGGCAGTAAAAAAGTATTTGAACGTGGTTTTTCACCATCACCCCACAACCCTCCAAGAATAAAATTTTCAGGCTTAAAGCGCTCTGAGAGAGGCAACTCATTGATCACAAACACGAATGGCCATAAAGAATACGAACTGCACTCATACAGAGACACTCCATCTGCATACCAAGTTAATGATACACATAAATCATTCACTAGAAATTTTTCTGCACCTGATTTGTAAACAGTACTGTCATAAGTGTCTTCAATGTTATACCGATCAAATTTCATTCTAGAATGCCTATGACGCAATTTTTCTACAAAGCCAGGGCGTTCAAACATTTTGCGCAGCTGAGATTCAATTGAACACTTAATAAAATATTTAATACGACTACCTTTGCAGTTGCACACATCATGCATGTCTTTACGGTATTTCCAACATATGTTGCAGTAGTGAACTAATTGCATTTCAGTATCATCACTTTTGAAATGTTTGAAAAACTTATGCTTAGAGTTAGGTAGTTTACAGGACTTAGGTAGTAACACATGCAACAAGTCTAAAAGCTTGCAGAAGTCAGTACCACTCATGTGAACAGACTGGGAGAAGGCTAGGATTGAAACCATGCTGTCATAGAGAGACAGTTGACATCCCTCGTACAATTTGTCTTCTAATGAGTTTTTATGAGTACCTGGTAGATCAGGTGGAGGATCATGAGCATTTGCATTTTCCATACAAAAACCTGTGGGTGTGGGAAACCAATCAACTTCACCAATGTCACTGTCAGCAGACTGTTGCAGTGGAGCATAAACAAAACATTCCCAATTCAAGGCAAGCCCTGAGAAATCAAAAGAAAAAAAAATAATACGTTAGGTATGCAGTGTGCAAATAACTTACAGCAAAAATACTTATTCAAATGTAGAGGAATAAATCCACATAAACACTATTGCTCTTACCTTCATGATACAGAGGGAAAACTGTTGGAGGAACCTCTGGGAAATGAGCCACACACAAATTTGCAGGAGGCACAAGAACTGAAATTTACAAAAATACAAATATGTTAAGCTTTGCAAATGAAAAAATTGTGACATGTGAATACACATATGAGCATAAATAAATTTCCTGGAGTTCTCTGAACGGAAAAAACTGATGGAGTAGGTACCCCAAAATTACTATCACCGGAACCATCTGTAATTTTTAGAATATTGTGTTAATTTCTAATAAGCCATAGCAGATAAAGAAGCGAGTGTTTTTTACTGGAAAAATATTAACCATACCTCTTTCAGTCGCAACAACCATATTGGGATCATTTAAGGGCTCAGGCACATCTGATGTAGGAGTATATGACAAATTGAATGTACTGTTTCCTCTGAACAACCTGAAATTATATTTTAGAAAACTTACAATTTGTCATAACTATTGTAATGTTTTCACAAAAGAACATTCAATGAAAACTGACCTGGCACAACAAAATTAGACGTTCCAGGCACTAGAACTTCAGTAAGTGGCCCGAAGTTTGCAGGAGTATTGTATGGATAATACTGACCACTTGGTGGGGGTAACAACGCCGGCTGCGTGGCGTGGCCGGCGCGCCTAACAAAAGTCGGAGTCGACTATTGTACCGTGTACTTTTTTAACTATAAAAAGTAAGTCAAGAAATGTAAACGGTATACGGCCCATTCACCCAAGCCCTCTTCACCCACGGGACAACTAGACCAAACTCCATAGGCCCACTGAATTTTCACCCCTTATTATTCATCCAAAGTATATTCACCCATATTATACCCTTGCCTTCATCTCACCCACTCCCAAAAATTCACCCAACGACAGGGAGTATTGCGAGCACAAGGGATATTTCCACTTCTCACCCCAACAATCAAAACGGTTCCCGCGGAGGCGCCGTACAGGAAAATTTTTCGAAGATGGAAGACGGAAAATTAATTCCAAGTGAAAGAGGCGGATACATTTTGTCGCACTCTGGATATTTATACAGTTTTCACTCAGACAATAAAAGTGCCGAACCCTGATGAAGGAGAAGCCATCACCCGCTACCATCGGATCAAAAGGCGAGCCGAAGAAAACCCCGAGGCACCACCAGCTCAAATCATCCAGCAAGAACTGCGTGAGGTCAGTACACACCCCGCAGACTCGCCCTGTGACGACGTAAGGGACAGTCAGTGTAACGTGCCGTTACTGCGTTATGTGCAGGTCCCGTCGGGTGTGCTGCCTCATCTCCCGCTGCGTGAGAGTATGAAGAGGACATTCAACAAGCGACGAAGTAAGAAGAGCTACCCAAGAAACCCCAAGACTATCGGCGACATAGGCGACATTCCCCAGAAGTATAAGAACACATTGGACGGTAAAGAATTTCTAATATATGACTCCTGGAACGACGAAGAAGATGACGAGCCCCCTCAAAACCGCATTTTGGTATTTTCTACTAGACAATTTTTGAAGAGACTCACTCAGTCTCTTATTGTAAACCTGGATGGGACGTTTGAGACGTCGCCAGATATATTTACCTAAGTGTTCACGATTCATGGTGAATATGGAGGGGAAGTGTTTCCTTTCGTATTTGCCCTTCTTCCGGACAAATCGGAAGCCTCTCACCGGACCGTACTGCAGGCTGTCGTCGACAAGTGTCGGGACATGAGGATAGCGTCGCCGAAACCAGTAACTGTTATCTCCGACATGGAAGTGGGCATCATCAACGCCACCAAGACCATCTTCAGTGACGCAGAGATAAGGCTATGCTTATTTCATGTGCGCCAAGCTGCGTGGAGGCATCTACAAGAAGGTGGTCTGCAGGTTGCCTACCGCAACCAAGAGGATGACTCGATACGAAATGCCTTCAGAGAAGTGGTCGGCTTGGCTTTTGTTCCGGTAGATGATGTCAAGGAAGCCTGTGAAGTGGTGATCGACAACCTCCCCGTAAGGATGGCTGACTTCGGGGACTACTTCGAAAAAACATACGTCATCGGACATCGGAACAGAGGAACTCGACAAACGGTTCCTCCGCGTTACCCTCCAGCCCTCTGGAATCAGTACATAGCAGCTGTGGAAAATCAGCCACGGACAAATAATGCCAATGAGGCATGGCACAACAGGTTCCAGACAATAGTAGGGAAAAGCCACCCCTCACTCTACAAATTAATTGGAGCATTCCAAAAGGAGGCAGCCGACGTCAAAGTGATGATGGAAGAACTTGACGCTGGGAGAAAAATTAGGCAACAACAGAAGGCAAAATACTCAAGAATAAACGATCGACTCCAAACTCTCACAAGAAGATACCAAGAGTTCAAGGCGACGGATCGGCTACTAGACTACGTTCGAGGTTGCGGAGCCAACGTTTCTCTGTGAAACTGTGAAACTGTGCAATAAAGAGTACTTTGGGTGAACTCTCCTTGGGCCAAAATAATAGAGGGTGAAAGTGATATGGGTGAAATACTTGTGGGCATATTGCGTCTGGGCAAGATTTCTTTGGGTCACTTGCACGTGGGTGAATGGGCCTAGATCCAATGTAAACATTTACCACTTGGTTAAGTCCTGATGTTGTATTAATGTTATGTTCCTCCTGTAACACAGCCCTATTGGCAAGGTGAAAGCATACAAACTGAAAATATTTCAAGAGCACCACTTTATCCAATATAAACAAACATCAATCAGGAGAGCTGTCGTAAGTACCCTTGTAACGAGGCAGCACAACCTGTTTTCCCTTGTAGCAACGATTTTTTAGCAGATGACACGCGTGAAACGCAGTTTCAGCAGCGTGAACTCTCGCAAAGTTCCCCACCCAGTTAACGCGTAGAGTTTCAAGTTCGCCAGTTAAAGCAGCAGCTTGGTTGAAACGACGTAGCAGCAGCTACCCGATCAATTACCTTTTAAGAAGTCGGTCATGTGTGGAGAGTTCTTTTGGCTTGCTAAAAGGAGAGTGGAGGCGGCTTAAGTTTTTCCACAACTACTGCATTGATTACTTGGTTGACAGTATCATGGCTTGCACTGTACTTCACAATTTTATCATCTTGGAAGGAGATAATGTTCATTGTTGAGGTCAGTAGATTTTTTAAATGACATTAACAGTTATACTTTTTGAATGTTATTATCTGCTTGTGACATTTCATATTTGTTATTTTCTTATCAGGAAGTTAACCATGAAGATGCTGGAGATGAGGTTGAGTTGCGACCGCTCATCAATGATTCAAAAGCAAATGGCATTTTAAAGAGAGTTTACATCGCACAATACTTGTTTCGTAGTGTCATTTGAAACTAGTATATAGCACCTTCTTAGTCCCTTTCATATCTGTATAGATTTTGAGTCCTTTACCAAATTAAGTGCAGCTAATATCTTTTAAAAAGTTAATTCTGTTGTTTCTGTTGTCACCTTTTTACTTAACAAAGCTTCCATAATTTTGTAGGTTGTGCTTGTAATAAATGCAGTGATAAGAATGTTGTAGCTACTCAATTTAAGGTACCAAGCCAATTTGTAGTTTCCGTAATGGGAGTGCAATGTGTATGCTTTTAAATAAATTTTGTCAGGATGATATCAAAAATAGCGGAGTATAATTATTTTCAAGTTATTAAAAACAATTACTCAACCAAACTTAAGTTCTGATAAAAATATTTTTGTGTAGCGGGTATTTGGAATAACAGCTAACCTATTAACACCACTGCAGTAAAAGACTGCTTACTTCTGATAGGACTTAACACTTCAAAATAAACTATTGTAGAGAAATGGTCTATGCTGGTCAGATGCTCTGGCCGCATGCACTGTTAAAAATGTTTTGAAATTTCAAACAAACTGAAAATTCAGAATTGTTTTGATGTTTTAGGACAATGTTAGGAAAATTTAGAACTGGGTAATGAAATGTCAGTATTCGTACTGAAGATACAGAACTAGGTAATGAAATGTCAGTATGGTTCTGAAGACTCAGAGCTGCGTAATGAAATGTTAGTATGCTTCCGAAAATTCAGAGCTGCATAATGAAACTTCAGTTTACTGAAGATTAAGAGCAGTATGATAAAATTCGGATAGCATTAATTAAGTCATGTACATCTCTGTGGCCTCTGGTATCATAGAAAATCAAGAACATTAATATTATCACAAGCAGAAAAGCGCAGTTATTTTCGCAACAACGATTACCCTGCACCGATACTGTCGCGGTCAAGCGCACTTCCACTATTTACCACCAGATGGCGCATCGATCGGGTAACTGATACTTTTCTTTTACGTCTCAAATGTCTATTAAATATCTTAAATTGCCTATCTGAACTATTGATGGTCCTCCACATTTGTTTTTCATTTTTTGTCAAAATTCAATATTTTGCATAAGTTTTAAATTGGCTCTCGCTGAGCACTCATAACGCGAGCACGTCCACCCTCCGGCGCCCAGCTCCCCATATTTCCACACCTGAGAAGAACAACCGCTTTCCTCTGCGGACTGGAAACAAACCCGCTTACCTCTGCTACCCTCAAACAAAACCGCTCACCTCCGGGACACGCAAACAAAGCCGCTTAAATGACTTTTTTACACATTCTGAAACATGGGTATCATTCGAAAGAGAATTTTTCCGTGATCATTTTGTTACCCGTATCTCAAAATGTGTAAAAAATTCATCTAAGCGACTTTGTTTGCATGTCCCAGAGGTGAGCGGTTTTGTTTGAGTTTTGCAGAGGGAAGCGGGTTTGTTTCCAGTCCGCGGAGGTAGGCAGTTGTTCTTCACAGGTGTTGAATTTGTGTGCAATTTGTAACTTCACGGGTGTGAAGCACATTCGATTTTTAGAAACTTACTCCAATTTGGCATTGGTTGAAGTGCTCCTGAAATCACAATCGCAAGGATACTAACAAATGACAAAATATGCGAGATTAAATTTCACTGGGAATTTCATTACACATATTATGGAATTTCAGTGCAGGTCCTGAATTATGCAACAATATC